GCATGAACATCAATCCCGGCAACCTGTTCCGGCAAACCCGTTCCCACAGGTGATCCCAACACACACACATGCACACACATCCACACACACATCCACACACACTCAGCTCATACGTGACTGCTGTTGCACCTTGCCTCGTCAGGCCCATGCGTGCCTGTCTGCAGCGACAAAGGAGTTGCCGTTCTGCAACACGAGTCTGTCCATCGGTGCGCGCCTCGACGACCTCATTGGACGCCTCAGTCTTCAGGAGAAGGCCGGTCTCATTGGCCCTGATCCCGTCACCAGCCCATGCGCCTTCCTCAACTACGGGCGTCAAGAGGTGGGAAAGGACATTCAGCACCCACGCAGTGACTTGTGACTCTCCCTGCTTGTGTTTCCCTCCCCGCTTCTTCGTGCCACAACCACATCAACCGCCACCACCACTGCTCACACAGCAACACCACCTCCCTCTTCATGCTCGCACATGTGTGTGTGCATGGATGCAGGCTTGATATCCCGCCGTATCTGTATCTGGTGGAGACGAACACGGCCGTTGCCTTTGCGTGCATCATCAGCCAGGACATGTGTGCCACAACCTTCATTGGCCCCACAGGTCTTGCCGCAGCCTTCAACCGAGTGTGTGTGTGTGTGTGTGTGTGTGTGTGTGTGTGTGTGTGTGTGTGTGTGTTTGTGTGTGTGTGTGTGTGTGTGTGTGTGTGTGTGTGTGCCTACGCCTGCTCTATCGGCTTCTCCTTGATCAAAGCTCCGGTCATTCATTCCCTCCCTCCTCGTCCCACCACCACCGGTCCTTTGCTTCCAGGTCATATCCACGGAGATACGCGCCTTCAACAATCTCAACTGGCACAGAAGCGGCGGCGTCTTGAAGAAGATCGTACTCGCAGGTGCCCCCTTCATCACGTGTTGCTGATGCTGGTGCACACCACACCCATGCGATCATTCCACCACTGTTACACGCATGCCCCCAATCCCCTTCACACTCACCCACTCACTCAACCACTCACTCACTTTGCAGACCCACCTCCTCGCCTTCACTGCACCCCTCTCAACCTCTAGGACTCCTTCTTGAGCGGCGAGAATGCTGCTGACGTGACGGGCTGCCATGACGGTCCAGACAAGAAGTACGAAGAAAAATGGCAGCAGGTACGCACACGCATCCAACTCCACATATGCGTGTATGCAAACGCCCACAACCGTGTCAGCGACGCTGTTTCATTTGCACACTTGATGGCGGTCGTGTCATTCACACTGCTGTCACCGCTCCATCGCATTTAGGTCTCAGGCACATTGACGCGTACTCGGTCGAGACAAGCCACATGGCATTCAACGGGAACATCTCCACGTTTGACCTCTGGGACACCGAGGTATGTGTGTGTGTGTGTGTGTGTGTGTGTGTGTGTGTGTGTGTGTGTGTGTGTGTGTGTCTGTGTGTGTGTGTGTGTGTCTGTGTCTGTGTGTGTGTGTGTCTGTGTGTCTGTGTCTGTGTGTCGGCTCGTGTACCTCCCATCAACATTTCTTGTGAGTTCGTCCACGCCACCAGACCTGCCACATCCCCTCACCTCCCACTTCCTTATGTTCATCCCGCTCCCCTCTGCCATGTGTCTCATATGCAGTGCAAGCAAAGGCGCTCGCTGCCATGTGTTCGAACGCCAGCATCAACGGCGTGCCCTCTCCGTGTGCACACAACAAGCTGCTCAACGACGTCGTGCGCAGACAGTGGAAGCGTGACATGGTGATGATTGGAACAGACTGCGGTGCGATTCGCAAACATGGCCAACGCCAACAAGTACGCCCACGACTCCCGTCGATGCCGTCGCGAAGACGCTGAACGGTGGCTCTGATACGGAGCTCAAAGAGACATACTGCACCACAAACGGCTACTTGGAGCAGGCTGTGCAGCACAACCGCATGACAATCAACACGGTGAACAACGCCGTGCGGTGGATGAAAGATCGCTTCATCACGAGCCAATGGTACGTTGACTTGTGCTGGCTTTGTGTGTGTGTGTGTGTGTGTGTGTGTGTGTGTGTGTGTGTGTGTGTGTGTGTGTGTGTGTGTGTGTGTGTGTGTGTGTGCTTGTCCTCAAAGTCTCTTTTGAGTTTTGTGTCCTTGAGAAGATGAAGCGGTGCACGGTTCCTCAACACCTCACAACAGTGTTGCCATTGCCTCTCACCCCATCCTCCCATCCTCCCCTCCATTCCCACACTCTTCCTCACCAGGCATCGATGAGTGCACGGCCTGCGGACGCAACCCTCACCTCCAATAACGGCCGCTGCATCAGCGAGTGCCCCGACGGCGGGCATGAGCTCGGCAACGCGTGTGCTGAGTACCACTTCACGCGTGCGCCAAGTGTCACCCCACCAGACGCCACCGACTGCCTCCTGTGTGACGGCAACCTTAACAGTCGTGCATTGCCCATTGCCCTCTCAACTACTACGCCAAGGACCACCGCTGCGTGCCATGCACCACGTGCGGCATGGGTACCTGGGCCTCCACCCCATGCTCCGCGTCCTCCGACGCCGTCTGCTCCCCCTGGACCGAGTGCAAGCCGGGCCAGAAGGAGTCTGTCTCTGGCAACGCCGTGCGCGACCGTGCATGCGTGAGCTGCACCCTTTGGCATGGAGTACCAACCTCTGCCGGACCGCGCCTCGTGCTTACCCACCAGTGCGTGCGAGGAGCCCTTCATCGAGACCATCCCGCCCACGCTCACCACAGACTGCCTGTGCTCCTGCGACACACTCACCTGCAACAAGCTCATCACGCAGCTGTTTGAGGAGATGGTGTGCGCCGACCCCACGGACGAGCAGCTCGACGTCGTGCTTGACGTGCTGCTCCAACCAGGCGAGGATGGCATCCGCGACACCATTTGCCAGATGGATGCCGACGAGGCACGCCGCTCCTGCACAGGCTGCACAGACACGTGCGAGTGCAGCGCAGGCTTCATCCTTGTCTACGACGCCGACTCGGCCGACTGTCGACCATGCGACGGCGTGACGGAGTTCTCCGCATCCATTGGCGGCAGCAAGTGCGGGCCCGTTGAGGAGTGCGAGCGCGGCCAGGAGGAGATCTCCGCGCCAACCCACTACTCCTCGGACCGCGTGCGCCGCGACTGCCCGGCCGGCGCCATCGACTCGGACAGTGACGGCTCCACGGGTTGACACATGTGCCCCACCGGCCAGTACACGGAGGTGGGCTCCCACAGCTCCTGCTCCAGCTTCACCTGCCGCACCGGCTCCCACCACCACGACAGCGACCCTGCCACCACGTGCAAGGACGTCACGGAGTGCGCGCCCGGGGTTTGAGGAGGTGCAGGCCATGACACTCCTCATCAGCGACCGTGTCTGCGACGAGTGCCCGGAGGGCACGTACAAGGCTGTCTCTGGCCAGCCAGGGCGTGCCCTGCCTCCCCGTCACCACGTGCGATGCCGGCGAGGAGGAGACGGCCGAGTCCACCCCAACGAGCGACCGCGTGCGCAGCCAGTGTGAGCTTGATGCCACCTTCAAGCCCGTCGACGGCCAGGCCGAGTCATGCCGCCCCGTCACGCAGTGCGGTCCAGATGAGGAAGAGATATTCGCTTTGTGAACCCACACGCCAGCACGACCGCCCCTGCCGCAAGTACGTCCAGGACACGTGCGTGGGCGTGACGCGTTGCACTGCCTGGGTGTACATTTCCACGCACGGCCGTGAGCGAGTGCGAGTTTGGCACCTTCCAGAGCCAGGTGCCCACGCTCGACTCTGACCGCGAGTACGCTGGAGTGCTCCGAGTGCCCAAGCGGCCGCTACGAGATTCACGCCTGCTCTGCGCTGGAGGACGTGCAGTGCGCCGGCTGCTCAGCGTGCCCGCCAAACACATACATCCTGCGCGCCTGCGACTCGGAGAACGACGTGTCGCGCCAGCAGTGCAGCACATGCTCTGATGAGCAGTACCGCAGCGCGCCATGCACCGCCACCAGCGACGACACGGGGTGCACGACGCTCGACGTGTGCGACCAGGACCAGTTCTCGAGTTTGAGCTGTTCCCCGCCCCCACGCCTACCACGGACCACAACTGCCGCGACCTGACCCAGTGCAACCCGTCGACGGAGTACGAGCGCACCGCCTGTGCCACCTCATCGCCAAGTGCGACCCTGGCGAGCAGCGCATGCGTGCGCCCACCTCAACCTCCGATGCCAAGTGCGAGCCGTGCCCCATCGGCAGCACCGACCACGACCGCAACCCGCTCACTGCCTGCCAGCCGTGGCCCTACGGCCACTATGTGCCGGCGGGCTCCATCGGCTCCTGCGAGCAGTTCCTATGCCCGGCCGGCACCGCCGACCTGGACTGCAACGCCAGCACATACCGTGCACGCCGTGCCAGGTTGGCGTGGACTTTGCCGCGCTCTCTGGCCAGCGTGATTGCACACCTGTGACGGAGTGCGACCTCGACTACGAGGAAGTGGTGCGCCCTCCCATGCGCCCCACCATCTTCACGGACCGCCAGTACCGCCGCTGCATCGAGGCCCTGTTCTACCGCGACAGCAACACGGACTTCTGCACGCGCGTGTCTCGCCCTGCGAACCTCGCTCGTTTGAGACAGCCGCACCCACCATCAGCACGGACCGCGAGTGCCAGATGGGCCGCACGTGCCCCAACAACACCACGTTCATCTCGCGCCCGCTCACGCCCACGCAGAACTACAGGCATCTGCTCACTGTGGACGCAGTGCCTGTCAAACAATGTACGAGCTCGTTTCGCCGTCGCTGGTCAACGCCCGCGAGTGCCAGCGCGTGCGCACTCGTGCCAGGATACGGAGTACGAGGTGTCGGCGCCCACGGCCACGACGGACCGCCCCTGCGCCACCATCAGCGGAACAGTTTGAAGTGCTCCTACCGTGCGTGTGTACCCGCGTACTCTGTCTCGCTCATCTTTGATGCCAAGTTCAACGCCCTTGTCGGCACGCAGTCGGGTCGCGAGGCGTTTGAGGTCGCACTGGTGCAGTCCATCAACACGACGCAGGACGCGTCGCAGATTGATTGTGCGCATCGACCTGCGCCAGGGGTCCATCATCGCCACCGTCGCCTCCCTCAACGAGGGCTTTACGCGCTCCTCTTCAGCCGATCCGTCTCTGGCGACGTCACCGTCATGGGCTCCACCGCATCGCCGTGCGAGGCCGACGCGTTCCTGGACAATTCGTCCCTTTGATTGCACGCGTGCACACGCGATTCGACCCATCACACACAGCAACTGCTGGGGGCCTCACACGCACGCACGCGCGCTTGCCAGTTCTCGTGGACGCCGCATTGCCCCACCAGGACATCCACAGCAGCCACGATCATTGCACCTGTTGTGATCGAGTGCTGCCAGCACATGCCACCTTCACCTCCCACATCTTCATCATCATCCCAGCACTGCTGCCACCACCCACCACTGACAACGACAGCAACGAGCTCAAGGCATCGGATGCTGTTGGCTCTTGGACCACCATGGTGTTGTTGGGAGAGACGTCAGCAGCAGTGGTGGTGTGGTGGTGGTGCACGCCATTGCAACAGCAACGACAGCTGATGTGGTGGTGGTGGTGGTGGTGGTGATTGTGTTTGCATTCCTCACTAGTTCCAGCAACAGCAAGGAAGTGGGCACTGTGCTTCTGGTGGGCACGCGTGTACTGGCTGTTGTTGGTGCCACCGCTGGCAGCAGCAGCTGCTGCGATGAGCGACAACGACAGTGAAGAAGGAGGTGGATGTATGTGGGGTGCATGGCACGCAGCGACTCTTCCTTCCTTTGTGGCTGGCTGTGCAATTGCATGTGCGCACATCGATGACGGCGATGACGAGACGGCTGCCAATCAAATCACTTCCCATCTGAAGAGCCACCGCGTCGTGGCTGGTGCACGCGTGCATCTCTTTCTTCCTGCAGGTCGACCATCGACAGAGCAGCGTTGCAGTGTGTCATGCGGTGTTTGATGATGCGTCGTTGTTGTTGCCACTGCGTTGGCTGTTTGTTCACATGCACGCCGTGCATACTCAATTTCCTTCCTTCCTCCCTGCCTTCCTTCTTGCTGTTCTCTCTGCTCTGCCACTCTCCCTTGCCAGTGTTGTGTGTTTGGTTGTTGATTGCCGTGTTGCGGTGATTCCATCTTGCATGTTCAATCGTTTCCCAACAACAATACATGGGGGACAGAGCCAAGACATGAAGAAACGACAACAGCCCTCAAACGGGCACACAGTCAACACCAACATGCACATGTCCCACCACGTCACCTTCTATCCAAGCAAGAGAGGACAGCAGAAACAGAACACAGCGCTGCTCAAGACAACAGCCACATCGCATGGTGCCACTTGCAGTGCAGCCAACCAGCTAAATGCAAGGTGGCCTGCACCAACAACAACGACAACAAGGCCGCAGGCATCCACCAGCCACCACTGTGTGTCAGGGTGCTGCAGGGCAAAGAAGACACACAAAGCGGGTCAGTCCATGGCGCTATTGTTGTTGTTGCTGTACTTGAACGCCTCGCACCAGTCCTTCGAGCAAGTCCCTCCAGTGTCAGCTGCACTTGGTTGCCGTCCTTGTTAGCTGGTGGTGCTGTTGTCGTTTGCACCGTGTCTCGCGGATGGCCTGTGTGATGAAGCAGAACGCGTCCAGCACCACCACGATGGTGTCAGGTGAAAGAAGTCGACGCTGCTGTGCACGTCCATCAAACCTGCTTGTGTGGTTCACAACACAAATCCACGCACGCGCAAGGCAGTACCAGCAAGAGTGAGTGAGTGAGGTGTGTGTGTGTGCATCAACGCAGGTGATGTGGAGAACACACACGAGGGAGCTGCGTGCAGGCCATCACATGGAAGCAAATGATCATCAGAAGGCAAAACACGTGTGGACTCACTCACAAGCAAGGATGCCGCTGCCACTTGTCACTGACATGGTCTCCTCATGCATCGACGATGCCGTCGCCAGCCAGTTTGCCCGCTAGCCAGCTTTCAGTCAGGAAGGGAGTGTCCAACATCGTCGTGAGGGGCAGCAGGCTAAGGAGGATCTTGCACGGCTCTTCTCATGCGATTCACACCACCACCTCCTCCTCCTTGTCGTTCTCAGCCCATGCTGCTGCTGCTGCTGTGTTGGCGAGCAAAGAGGGGGAGATGGCTATTCATTCTGGTCGCCACCATATCGGCGGGCGTAGCCACTGCCGCTGATCCATGCATGGGGTGCAATGGTGGCTGATGGTTGTTTTGAGTGAGATTTGAGTGTGGGTTGGAGAGGGAAGGGGGGAGACACGGGTTGAGGGGACGGAGGAAGGAAGCAGGAGGGAAGGAAGGGAAATGGTGCTGTGGGTCGGTGGAGGTTGTGCAGTCACACACCAGTCAGTGGGAGAGAGAAGGAGAAGAGAAGGGAAGGAAAGGAAGTGGTGCACACTTCTGTACTTGGCATGGAGCAGCGCTTCCACCAAGGCAGAGTAGAGCAGAGAGGAGGGGAGAGGGGAGAGGAGAGAGGAGGCACTCTGGCACTGCAGCACAATCAAACTCGTCCACTGGCTGGTTGGCTGGCTGGTTTGTTGAGAGTGGTGGTCGTTGTGGTTGTTTTGTTTGCTGCACACAGCAAGCAAGCAAGAAGCAGCAAGCAGCAACAAGAAGGGAAAAACAAACAAAGGAGAAGAAGGAAAGGACAGCTGGCCGGCTGCTTTGTGGAGGAAGATATGGGGAATTTTCGTGGCTGCGCGAGAGGAGGAGGGATGGTGGAAGTCTTGATGTACTTTTCGTGGGGTGCGGAGTGTTTGTGGGGGAAACGCCCCAAGAAAGACACACAGCAAGCAACAGCAGAAGAGAAGGGAAGAAGCAAGCACTGCAAGCAGGCGTGTGTGGGTTGTTTTGGTTTGTGGTGTGTCCTCTCCAACTCCATTCTGCGTCGTTCCCAGTCACAGCAGAGGTCACAGCACCCCAGTCACACAAGCACCAAACAAGCAAGCAAGCGAGAGGAGCAGACAAGCAACAGAAGAGAGGAGCAGACAGAAGAGCAGACAAACAGCGAGGCAGAGAGGGGGAAGAGAAGACCCGTACGCTCCACCTTCAACTCAGCAGGAGCAACAGCCAGCTATGTCCGGCGGAGAGAAGAGGGCGAGGGAGGAGGTGGAGACCTTGCTGGCGCAGACGAAATTGCTAGCGTGGAGGGAGAAATCGGTGAAGGACAAGATCAGGGCCATCGCCAACAACATGTGTGGGAAGGAAGTGGAGTAAGTGAATACCAAAACGGCCATTGCTGTGTTGGAGTACAGCGTGCACCCTGCATGGTCTGCTCTCTGCTTGTCTTGTTGCTATGCTTGTCGTGTACTTCAACCACGATCGCCATAGCCGTCTGTGACGTATGGCCTGCTTGTCTCTTGCTTTCGGCATATGTTGACTGGCAGCTTTTATGGGGCTGGCCTCGGCGACAGTGGGGTGAAGGCGGTGGCACAGGCGCTCAAGGACAACACCTGCCTCAACAAGCTTGAGTACGTGGTGATGTGGGACTGCGCGTGGCATGCAGTTTTGGTTGAGCTGTCTAGCTGTTAATGCTGGTTCTTGACCATCCTCTTCTCTTCTTTGTGTGCTCATGGCACGTGCTTTGACCCCCCCCCCCTTCCGTGTTGACAGCCTGAACTACAATGCCATCAGCGATGCAGGCGCTTCAGCATTGGCGGAGATGCTGAAGCACAACGCGACCATGCCAACACTCTAGTGAGTGTGAACACACGTGCACATATGGTTGGACATGGGCTGCGTCATGTTGCATGTTGATGACGTGCTGTTCTGTGGGTGTGCGCATGCGCGTGTGATGTGTGGTGGGTGAGTTCAATGACTGTGTTGCCACCTACAGCGATCATCACGCACTCACGCTTCCTCGCCCATGTGGCATCATAACCCTGCGTGGCATCATACCACCTTAACAGCCTGCACAACAATTCCATCGGCGGCAAAGGCGCTGTGGCGTTGGCGGAGATGCTGAAGCACAACACGACCATGACATCACTTATGTGAGTGTGCACACACATGTATATATGAATGGAAATGCGCTGCGTCACTGGCGTTGCACCTTGTCACGTGTTGTGGGTGTGCGCATGCGCATGCGCGGTGGGTGGGTTCAACGACTGTTGCCACACCACGTGAATCGTCACGCATTCACTCTTGCTCACCCATGTGACATCTTTGCCCTGTGTGGCATGATATCACATTGACAGCCTGGGAATCAACCCCATTGGCGATGAGGGCGCTGTGGCGTTGGCGGAGGTGCTGAAACACAACACGACCATGACAACACTCGGGTGAGTGTGAACACACATTCATGTGTGGATGGAAATGGGCTGCCTCACTGCCTGTTGCACAATGCGCCGTGCTGTGGATGTGCGCATGCACATGTGTGGTGGGGTGAACTCAACAGCTGCTTACCACCCCATATTCTTGGCACCCAGTCACCACTCCTCGTCACCATCGAGTATGCTGACATCAATCACCCACTCCTCTTCTCTCTTGTGTGCACAGTCTAGGACAAAACTCCATCGGCGACCCCGGCGCCGTGGCGTTGGCAGAAATGCTGAAGCACAACACGGCTCTCGACATACTCTCGTGAGTGGAAGAACCGTGTGGTGCAGTGCCTCTGTCGTTGTTCCTGGAGGACCCATGAACTAATCGAAGCACAGCCAGCCATGCACAACGCTTCTGCTGGGTGCTTGTTGCGCAAAGCAATGCCCCCCCCCCCAAAATCCATCAAGCACTGTGACATGCGTGCTGCCATATATCTTGTGCAACTGTCATTGCCCTTGTGCCATTGCAACTCAAAGTTGTACGCACGTGATTCATCCACAACCCACGTTCATCCATGACACTGATCCTTGTTGCTTTTCCCTCACTTCCCGTTTCCTCTCCCCGTGCTTGCGTTCTCTTCCCACATGTACTGCTGGCCACTTGCAGCTTGAGAAAGAACTCCATCACCCCAGCTGGCGGTGCGGCGCTGGGAGCCGCCCTGGACCAGAATCGCACGCTGAAACGGCTCTGGTTGGTTGATTGTGGTGTGGTGCACTTACCTGATGCACGTTTGTGTCTCGTTGTGGGCAATGTGATTCATCACCACTCTGAGTACATGCCACAACACACGCTGCTCCCTGCTTGCCTTGCATTTCTCCAAAACCACTAGCCCTCCTGACCCACGCACCACACTTGCTCCCTCCCCCTCAACCAACACACATCCCCCACGTGTCCCCATGTTCAGGGTTTGCAAGAACTCCCCCGCCACTGCTCGCGCCTTTGGTGCCGCGCTGCCCGTCGACCGCGAGATCGACACAGGCGACTGGTCAGTCCTCGCGTGCCCTTCCCTTCTTGTCATGCGCTTTCTCTCTTCTCTCAACCCTTCTCCTCTCACATTCTGCGTGATGCTTGCGTCTCATCTTATGTGGAATCACAGGCCCTTCGACGATGAGGGCAAGGCCGCTTTCAATGAAGCCCGCGAGGCGAAGAAGAAGAAGCAACACGACACTACCCACGGCGACCAAGCAGACCAGCGACAGGGTGCAGCTGCAGACAACGAGCAGCAACCGCACGAGTACATGCTCACTGCCTGCAAGGCCGGCAATGTCGCAGCCGTCACCTCCCTCGTTGAACAGGACCACGCAGATGTAGACCAACAAGATGAACAGGTGCGTGTGCATATGTGTGCTCGTGCTTGTGAAGCGGGTGGTGCATTCGTGCAGCGAGCTGTGTGTATGTTGCCAGGAATTCTCACCACTTGCCCTACTTCCCCACTCCCATCGTCCACGACCCAACCACAGGGCGACACGCCGCTACATGTTGCCTGCAGGCACAACCAGCCCGCCATTGTTAAGCTGCTCCTCGAGAAGGGCGCGGATGCTTCCGTCAAGAACAAGCAGGTGAGATTCTTTTCGTGTGTCAAGTTCGGTGGTGTGGCACTGCTTACTGGTCTGTGTTCTTCCCTCCCCTCATCACATTCTGCCATATCTTCACACTGGCAGGGAGAAACTCCTCACTATGTAGCAACGGCCAGTGGCCACACTGCCATCACCAGCATCGAGGGGCTCAACCCAGGCAGCCAGCAGCAGCAGCAGAACACAAAAGACCCACGTGCGTCCACCCCTTCCACCAAACCCAAGCAAGAAATTACAGCAGCGTCAGACGTGAGTGATCAGAGATGGTACAACGCATGTGCATGTGTGCATCCCATTGTACAAATTTTGATCACCGGTATGATCTGCTTCCCCAACATGATGACGCGCGCTCACTCACACCATCATCACCATGACCACCACCGCCGCCGCCACGTCATCATCACCAGCCCGAGCAGGGGCGCAAGGAGCGCCTCCAGCAGCACATGCGGGAGATCATTGCGCGCTTCAACGCGACCATGGCTAGCAGGGCCAAGCTCATCTTCATTGGCCAAGGGCGCGCCGGCAAAACCAGCACGTTTCACTCGCTCATGGGTCACATGTTCAACAAACACGAGCACTCCACGCATGGCGCCGCCACAACTGACCTCGCCGTTATCGTCGAGTCCATGGACGTTCACGACTGGCAGGTGTGTACCCTTGTCTGGTGCGAGCATGTGATGTGTGCGACGCCTGGGTGTGAAAAGAGGTGGTGGTTGACACGATCATCCCCTCACTCACACACACACACACACACACACACACACACACACACACACACACACACACACACACACACACACACACACACACACACACACAACCTTTGCAGGAGCTGGATGCGGAGATCTCGGAGTTGATGCGCAGCCTCTGCGGCACGGCGCTGGTGCAGGAATCTGGCGTGGACTTGCAGATGAAGCAGGCGATGATGAAGGCGAAGGCCGACTTGGAGAGCCGCGTTGCCCAGCACCAGCACCAACAGCGGCAACAAGAAGCCGAGAAGGCAGAGAAGGCGACGGGTTCAAAGTCGAAGAAGGAGCAGTTACAGAATGCGAAGGAGACGCGGTCACGGCCATCCTCCCGCACGTCGCCAGCGACTGTCCCAAAGCCCAGCAAGCCGTCTCACATGTGTGCGTCTGCACCCAAGAAGCAGACCACCCTAAACCCTTCCAGCCAAAGTGATGCTGCTGCGCGTGACAACAGCACCACTGCCACAACCGGCATGTCTGCGGAGGAAATGGAGAAAGCGATCAAAGAGTTCAACGTGGACGCCGTCATGGGCGAGGGCAAAGCGCGCGTCACGTTCAAGGTGTTTGACCTGGGCGGCCAGTCCACCTTCTACATCTTCCACCCTTTCTTCCTCACCAAGTGAGCCACTGTGTGTGTGTGTGTGTGTGTGTGTGTGTGTGTGTGTGTGTGTGTGTGTGTGTGTGTGTGTGTTGGCCTCCTCACTCACTCACCCCAATATATTCCAACCCCCCCCCCCACCACACATACAACCCACACCAGGTACGCGGTGTACCTGCTGGTGTTCTCCATGGAGGACCTGTTGCACCAAGACGAGAGCAAGCGGACCGAGACGTGGGAGTTTATGGAGCACTGGCTCTCCTCCCTCCACCTCCACGCAAAGGGCGCACCCGTCCTCATCGTCGGCACCTTCGCTGATGTGGTTAGTCAGCGGAAACAGCACGAGAACATCTCGCGTGGCATCTACAGCCGCCTGCGCCACAACCCCGCTTTCCCTGGCGTCATCCACAACGAAAAGCATGGTCTGTGGTTCTGGCCCGTCGACAACACCCAGTCCATCCATGATCCCATGATCCAGGACCTGCGCCAGACCATCTCCTCCACAGCACTGGCGCAGGAGTACGTGAGCCAGGAGGTGGCTGTGCCGTACCTCCACCTCTATGACAAGCTCAATGCCATCGCCCGCGACGAGAAGCGACCGCTGCTGACGTTTGACGAGGTGGTGGAGATTGCGCACACGTGTGGGCTGCGCACACGCCAGGAGACGAAGGCCTGCCTCCAGTTCCTGCACCTGTACTCCATGGTATTGTACTACGACAGCGTGCCTGGCATGGACGACTATGTGATCCTGAGCCCGCAGTGGGCGGTGGACACGATGACCCGCGTCATCCGAAACTTTGATCTGCATCACGATGTGCGGGATGGCGAGGCGAGGGCCGTTGGTGCGCAGCTGTGGGACGACCTGGTTGACCGCGGCATCCTGCACCGTCGCCTGCTGGATGTGCTGTGGAAGGACTTGGAAGGTGGCACGATTGAGCCCTTCCTCCAACTCATGATGGAGTACGGGTTGTGTGTCGACTACACGGCACCAATGGTGCGGCTGTCCAGCCCTCAACAGCAGCAGCACCACCACCAACAATTCCTTGTCCCAGCCATCCTGCCGATGACGCTGGAGGATGAACAGGCGTCGTCGTCGGTGACTCTGAGCACGGCAGCAGCACAGCAGGCCAATCCATACGCTGGATATGAGGAGAAGACAGCCTACGTCGCCTTCAGCCTGAGGGAGTTCAAGAGGGGTGTAAGCGCCAAGATTGCAGACACGCAGCAAGCCTCCTTCCTGCCAGAGGGCCTGTTCCCGATGGTTCTGGCACGCGTGATGGCACACATGCAGCATGGTGCAACGGAACCGCCCATGTTGAGCCGGACAGACGCCGTAATCTTCATGGACGTGGCTGAGATCGAATTACAGCTCGTGCCGGCTGTTGGCGGCATCAAGATCAAGGTCATGACTGCACGTCCTCGCACGCTGCTGCACATGCTGTACGACACCATCACAACAGCTGTCACGCAGCGCTACCCCGAGCTCAAGGCCACGTTGTTGCTGCCATTCAATGACACCAGACTGCTGTTCTTCGAGGACGTGCACACCCATCACATGAACAAGAAAGCGCTTCGCGTTGGCCGCTCACAGCTGCTGTCACCAGGGGATCTGGTCGCCAAGTATGGTCCACTCTTGCCAGTTATGGGTCAGCAGGGCAAATACGATGCCTTCATCAGCTACAGGTGGGACTTGTGTGTGCGTGTGTGTATGTGTGTATGTGTGTATGGTGCGAACTGGGCGTCTTTCCTTCCCGCTCTCTTCCTTTCTGATTTCGACATTCAACCACCACGTCACAGGCAACGCGGCAACCGGGGTTTGGTGATGACATTGTACCCAAAGTTGGAGCAGCACGGACTGGTAACCTTTGTGGACGCCAACAACTTGGAGACAGGCGTCAACTTCAAGCACGCGTGCATGACAGCCCTGCACAACAGTGCTGTCGCCTGCCCCGTCGTCTCCGTCGGTGCCATCCATCAGATGCGCTCGCTCGGCCACACTGACACGTGCGACAACGTGCTGTTGGAGTGGATGGCGATGCTGGAGCTGCAGCAGCTTGCTCGCCAGCATCCAGACAACATCCGCCTTCGCCGCATCGTCCCGCTCTTCGTTGGCAGTGGCTGGCACGACAGCAACCACCATGTTATGAGCGCGGCGGAAGTGAGCGAGTACGACTCGTTTGACCGCCTGAAGCGGCTGGCAACGAAGTTGCCGGATGTTGTGAGCAAGGAGACGGCGTCAGCGCTGGACCAGTTCTTTTCCCAGGTGCTGCGCCTGCCACCGCCACAGCGGCACAAGAGCGTGCGCAAAGTGGTGCTGTCGCTGTTTGACATTGACGCAGTGATTGCGGTGGATGCCGGCGTGGACCGCACGTCGCAGCTGCGCGACATTGCAGAGAAGGTGCGCCAGGTCATCGTCTCCGCGAGGAGCGAGGAGCATGCAGTGAAGGGACCAGCAGCCGCGCGGCGATCCACGCAGGTATGGTGTGTGAGTTCGTGCAGACATGCACCCATGCACCCATGCACCCATGATCCACTCCTTCCCCTCTTCCGCTTGGCACGCGTGCTCACTCCACCCCTCTAACTTGTCTGCCGTGCAGTCATCTTCCTCGATCTCCACTGCCACGGCCCGTTCGACGCCACCACCTGCAACCCCTTCGTCCCCGTCCTCAAGCGCATTTGAGCCCGAGTTGATTCAATGGCTCAACCGCCGCTCGCTGCTGCCGCATGTCGAAGCAGCGCTGATGGAGCACGGCATTGACACCCTTGAAGATCTGCTTGTGCTGGTTGAGTTGGGCGAGCTCACCCTGGAGATGCTCAAGACCGCCGGTGTGAAGGTTGGCAAAGCGATCAAATTGTTGCGTCTGGCCAAAGAGCAAGCTACCTCGGCCTCACATGCCCTTTCTTGCCTCGCACCATTTTTGTTTTCCTCCAGTGTTCACCTTCTGTGCTTGTGTTCTTTCCTTGTGCTTGTGCTTGCTGTGTTGGTTTCTGTTGCCAGCAGCTGGTATTGAACCATTTACCAGGACGCAAAGCAAAACACAATCAACAGCGTGTCAAGGGCACCACAAGCAAGGAAGCTCCTCCAACACACACACACACACACACACACACACACACACACACACACACACACACACACACACACACACACGCACGCACACACACACACACACACACACACACACACACACACACACACACACACACACACACACACACACACACACACAGAACCGAGCAACGTCACTGCATGCCACAACACCCCTTGCGCACGGGCACATGCTGATCTTCCTCGTCGCCAGGCGAGTCATCGCTGTGCTCTTGCTGGTGTTTGGCTGCTTCGTGAAAGCGTGATGTGGGCCCCGGATCTGCGCCAGGGTCCTGGCTAGCACGTGTCGAAAGGGTCTTTGCAAGGAAGCGAACAAGTAGCTGCTGCTGTGGCGTTGGTGGGGACACTGCGGCGAGGAACCGCACGAGCAGTGACTGAGCCTGTGTGTTGCTGTTGTGGCTGCTGGTGCCGGTGCGTTTGGCGGTGCTGGTAGGGGCGTGTGCTGCAGTCGGGATGGTGACGGGCGTGACGGGCATGCCGTGGGCGAGGGCCATCTGGCGCGACATGGCAGCGTTGTGAGCGGCTTGTTGCGTGCGTGAGTGGTTGGGGCCCAACACGGTGAGGAAGCACTCGAGGGCGAGCTGGAAGTACCCGGCGGCCTTGCCGTGCTCGCCCATCTCGCCAAAGGATCTGCCGATGTTGTTGAGCGTGACCGCCGTCTCCGGGTGGTGTTCACCAAGGAGGGCAATCCTGGTGCCGAGTGCTTTGTTGAGGCAGGCAATGGCGCGGGCGTAGTCGCGGCAGTTGTTGTAGACGTTGCCCAGATCGTTGTACATGGCAGCGGTGTTGGGGTCGCGCTCCCCCACCGCAGCTAGCTGAATGTCGAGGGCCTGCGTAAAGTGGTCGATGGCGCTCGCGTTGTTGCCTTTGTTTGCAGACGCGTTTGCGAGGTTGTTGTGTGCGGCGGCGATGCGAGGATCGCGGGCGGGCAGCAGCTCGCGGCGGAGCTGCAGCACAATGCTGTGGTGCTCGAGGGCACGGTCAAAGGCGCCTTTGCTGTTGTAGGCGTTGCCCAAGCTGGTGTGAATGGTTGAGGCAAGCAGCTGCTGATCCTTGAGCCCAGACACAACATCCAGGGCCTTGGTCAGGTGCATGATGCCGCGGTCGAGTTCTCCAAACGTCACCATTACCATCCCCGTTTGGTGGCACAGTTGCGCGAACTTCGCGGCAGCCCATGTGTCATCACGGTTGGCGTCCTCACGCTGCTGCTGGTGGGCTGTGACAAAGGCGTCCACGGTGCGGAGACACCAGGCGCGCATGCGGTCCTTCACGGCGCGGTTTAGGGCGGTGAAGCCGACGGTTGATTGGATGGCGCGGAAGATCATGTCCTTGTCCTCCTTCTTCCACGCCTCTGCCTTCTCTGCCTGCACCTCGACAAGCATGTTTGTGACGGCCGTGTGCGTCTCCGTGATGGCGTCCCTGAGGGCGTGGCGCTGCTGCGAGGGAAGGCGGATCTGCAAGTCCACGTCAGCTTGACTGATGCTGCAGAAGATCTCCCACAGACACCATGCACGCGTCAGCGGCACGGGGTCATTCCAGGGCGTCAGGACCAGCAGCACCTTGCCAATCTGCCGAATCGACTTCTTGAATGTCGTGCTCCACCTGCGGTTGTTTTGTTTGGGGGGGGGGGGGGGGGGGTTGAGGATGCGGGAGCGAGTGTTGTTGGAGGATGTCAGGCACAGGTTGGTGATGTGGTTGGGCAAGGGTGAGAGGGAGAGGGAGAGAGAGGGGAGGGGGGTGAGTGAGTGAGTGAGAGTGAGAGAGAGAGAGAGAGAGAGAGAGTGTGTGTGTGTGTGTGAGAGTGTGTGTGAGAGTGAGAGAGAGCGTAGAAGACGAAGCGCGAGAGACGAGACAGTACTTACAAGCACAAACGCACGCACACACACACACACACACACACACACACACACACACACACACACAAACACACACACACACATATACACACGCAAAATGCGTACCAGTCTTGAGGAAGGTTTGCTGTGACGTTGACGTGTTGACTATTGATGAACAAGTCAAACCAAAATTACGTCTTGCTGCTGCCACTCTGCCCTTCCTCAGCAGCAAACTCCAGCAAGGTCGTGAGCACGTCGACAATCTTGTAGCGCCAAGCGTGCGACACAAACACAGTGGCTCGACCAACATTGTCTTTGTTCTCTTCGCGCATCACATCAATGTATGCACACTGGCTGTCTTTGGTTCGAGGCACCACGATCGACGTGCACGCCTCCTGCGTTGTCATCTCCTTGTACGTCTCCGGGAACTGCTGCTGCAAGGTCTGCACGAAGCGCTCGATCGCGCCGCTGCTCACGCCCACCGCCTCCATCGCCGCCATCGCCGCTGCTGCTGTCCTTCCTGTTCGCTGCCAGCAAGCACAACAATAATAGATGGGAAAGAAATGTTTTGGTGAGCGCTGATTGGTCAAATCGGCGAGCTGTTTGGTGGGCGGAAGTTGATGAAGATGAAGATGCACGCTGGTGTCAGTGGTGGTGGCAGTGGCATGAAGGACCACGACTCGCTTCCGCCCCATCGCAGGCTATACACCTTCGATCAGGTATGTGTCTGTGTGTGTGTGTGTGTGTATGTGTGTGTGTGTGTGCGCTGGTGTGTGTTTGTGTGTGTCTGTGTGTGTCTGTGTGTGTCTGTGTCTGTGTCTGTGTGTGTTGCTTTTCCTTGTGCAGCTTCCTTTCCGACCAGTACTGGCTTGTGACCCTCTCGGCCTTGCGCCTGGCCCTAGCCGCAACAGCTCACACGCTGTTCCACCACAAACAACTGCAGATTCCGGTGCATTTGCAGGACAACCCTTACATCTTCACGGGCTACAGAGCGTTTCTCACATACCGGCAATGTCTCATGACGTGTGTGCGCTTGCGTTGAGCGGCATTCACTGTTCCTACTCCTGCCAGCATACCCGTGGTTCCAAGTCCGATGCCCATGAGCCACCGCGCACTCCCATCAGCCCTAATGCACACGCGCTCACATCACCACGCTTGCTGATAGGATATGTGGCTTGCACAATGAGCTGCTCAACATCTGGACACACCTCCTCGGCTTCATTTGGGGCTTCTCTGCGTTTGTGTGGAACAACGCCGTTCTCTTTGCCAAGGATCAGACGCAGCCCATCGTGGACGCGGATGGTGCTCCAACGGATGCCGCCCAACTCGAGACAGATCGCTTTGTCCTCAACGCATATCTCATCTGCGTTCAGGTGTGTGTTTGTGTGTGTGTGTGTGTGCGCATCTGTGTGCGAGAGACTGCACGAATGCTTATCAGCTCAGAACGACTTGCTTGTAAGCTCAGAACGACTCAAAGCACGACCCTGTGTCTCACCCAAGCTGCTGCACGTGCCACATCCCATGAAGGCCTGCTTGCTCGCATCTGGGCTGTTTCATCTGTTTCTGCCGCACATCAGTGAGAAGACGAGCCTGCGCTGGCTGCAGCTTGATCTCCTGGGCATCACCTTTGGCATGCTCGGCTGCTATGTCCCGGGCATCCACTTTGGCTTCTATTGCATGCCGGTGCGTGTGTGCCTGCCTGTGTGTGTGTGTGTGTGTGTGTGTGTGTGTGTGTGTGTGTGTGTGTGTGTGTGTGTGTGTGTGTGTGTATGTTTGTGTATGTGTGTGTGTGTGTGTATGTTTGTGTGTATGTGTGTGTGTGTGTGCGCGTCTGTCTGTGTCTGTGTATGTCTGTGTGTATGTGTGTGTGATTGTATGTCTGTGCGTGTGTGTCTGTGTGCCCTGTGTCCTGCCTGTACTGCCCATACTGCAAAACAGATTCGACACTCCATTGCCCCTGTGCGGCTCATTACATCTCCCATTTGCTCTAGCAGGACGTGCGATGGTTCTACACGGTCGTGTGCGGGTTTATGTTTGTGATCAACCTCCTCATGCAGCTGCACAAGGACTTCCTCTCCCACCGCTGGGCCATGAAGCGCGTTCTCCTCTACGCCTGCACCCTCGGCTTTGGGGTGAGCTACCTATGTTGATGTATGTGTGTGTGTGTGTTTGTGTGTCTGTGTCTGTGTCTGTGTGTGTACGTGTGTTGTTTGTTTGTGTCTGTGTGTGTGTGTGTGTGCGTGTGTTGTTTGTTTGTCGCGATAAAGCCATTTATGTTCATGACCACGCCTTTTCTCACCCTTTTCTCGACCCCCTGCTCACCACATCCCATCCACCCACCAATCCGCCACAGCTGATACCTGTGGTGCACTGGACGACGCTGCCGCACGACGATCCTGAGGAGCTTGGTGTTTTCCTGCCGCGCGTCCTCATATCGTATGCGCTCATGATCATCGGCGTCGCATTCTACATCTCCCGCTTTCCAGAACGCGCATGCCCAGGTGAGGCTGGCTGTGTATGTGTTTGTATGCGCGTGTTTGTGCATCTGTCTGTGTGGGCATGTGTGAGTGTGTGTGACTTTGTGTGTGTCTGTGTGTGACGCTGTGTGTGTGTGTGGTTCTGTGTGTGTGTGTGTGTGCACTCTTGTGCGTCTGTGCACCCTTGCGTGCTTCAGTTTTTATTGTGCTTGGCTCCCACAGCACCCGCTTCACATTTCCAACACCCTCTCGATTGTCCCCCTCACCCCTCATGTCACCCATCACTACCATCTCTCCCACCCCCTCCCAGGATCGTTTGACATCTTCTGCTCGTCACACCAGTGGTGGCACACGTTTGTGCTGCTGGCGTTTGTGTGGTGGTACCGGTCAAGCGTCACCCTCTTTGAATACCGCCAGCAGCACCCCTGCCCGGCACCCTAGTCCAGGCCACACACACACACACACACACACACACACACACACACACACACACACACACACACACACACACACACACACACACACACACACACACACACACATACACACACACACACACACACGCACGCACGCACACACACGCACGCACCACGGTTGTTTTTAGCTTTGCGAGTTCATTCTTTCTCTTCAGCGGTGGCGTGTTGATCACGCACGAACAATAAAGACTCACGTTTACTTGGACCACGGTTACGGTTTTCTGGTGACAATTGTGTGTGTGTGTGTGTGTGTGTGTGTGTGTGATGTGTGTGATGCACCATGTTGCACATGAAAGAACAGACGAGCTTCCAGAAGGGATCCACGAGCCGAGCACATGCCAACATGTCCTGCTGCCCTAATGCTTCATGCTGGTGACGCCGCCGTCGAACTATCGCGTGATGCTGCAGAGAAAACGAAGATGACATGTGAGAACTGTGAGTGCCGCACGCGACAATCCCTATGCGCACACTAAGCACCTTCAAACACACACACACACACACACACACACACACACACACACACACACACACACACACATCTATCACCACCACCACTTACATGGCGAGCGGACGTTGCGGAACTTCTCCACCAGCGCGGCGTAGAGAGAGGGCTGCAATGCAAATGCCACGACACACGCACATGTGTGTGCATGTATGTGAGAAAATCAACCATATCAGAAGCAGCGCAACACAGCGATTCGGCACCTTTCTCCTCGTGCACAGACTTAACGCAATGCACTGCAAACACACCCGACCCCCTGTTCATCGGCGCAATTACCAGGATGCCTGTGCCGCCGCCAGTGCTCGCGTGTTTGCGCGGGGTTCCGCCCGGAGACCGATCACCAGTCGTCTTGCGGAGGCCGAGCCGCGCCTGTCGCCATGAGGAGGCGGGCATCATACATGTCGTGCGTGGTGAGATGGCGGCATGATACCAGTATGATGATACCCCCAGTTGACGAGACACATCACAGCAGGTACAGTGATGAAATGGACACATGCTCATTTCTCACCCGCTGCACGGCGCTGGCTTCGATGCAAGGAACCTTCATTGGCGAGGGCGTCTCGGTCTTGGTCACCGCTGAAAGCAACACACGAAGCACCATGTGTCATGGGTGTGCATGGATGTGAGCACACACATGTACATAGAAGGTAGTTGTGCTGCAAACACGAACGGCAGCACTACAAGGACTGAGTCCATACATGTATGCAGGCACTGCCTGCACTTACGTTTGAGACGCGCAGAGGTGAGCTGGTCCCGTGAGAAGTTCAGAGGCCGGAGCACACCCTGAGATTGCACACACGGCAGCGAACAGTGTGAATTGTGTCACATTGCATGCATGCACGAAAAGAACATATGCACACGCACGCTTGCACACCGATGCAAACACGCACACACGCACACACACGCACACACACACACACACACACACACACACACACGCACACGCACACACACACGCACACACAGACGCGTACCCGCTTCTTGAGGGGGCTGCCAGCCACCTTGACCTTGCTTGCCGACCGCTTAATCTGTGTCGGTGTACTCGGCTGGAGTGTCGGCAGCTTCAGCGGCATGGGTGGGGGTGGCGGTGGTGCAGCTAGTGCTACCGTAGCTGTTGTGGTAGGGGGAAGCGGAGGGGCAGGTGGCGGGGGCACTGGTGCAACTGTGGTTGTCGGTGCAACTGTGGGCTGCGGTGACATGCCTGTACCACGAGAAGTGGTGGTGGTGATGGTTGCTACTGCTGCTGTTGCTGTCGCTGGCAATGGCGCAGGCAGCGGTTCATCGACTCTGTGCGTCACCGCCTCCTTGTATGAGCGCGTGTCGCGTGATTGCGAAATGGTCTGCGTGGACGCCGTCTTGGTTGGTTGGAAGACGGGGGCTGGAATGACGTTGTACCGGCCCCTCCGCGGCGTTGTTGTGGCCGCCTTCTGGACTGCTGCTGTCTGCGTGGCTTGCGTGGCCTTCTTCACCGTGTGTGTCTGCGTTGCATGTGAGCGCGTGCGTCGCGGCTTTGCCAGCGCTGTCCGCAGCAGCCGCTCATCTGTCTGCACGCCCGTATCTGTTGTGGGCACGTCTTCCCGCTGGTTTGCAAGCGCGTCAACCAGAAGACCTTGCAGGCGCTCATTGTGTGCCGTCACCTGTGGTCAACAACAGGTCACCAAAACGCCCGCGTGCATGAATGGCACGAATGCATTGTCATCACACAACGCGACAGCAAGTAGTACAGCAAGGTGCACGCTCACTTGTCTCCGCACACACACACACACACACACACACACACACACACACACACAAAAGTTGAGGAGCGCTAGCTGCTGCACAAACCTCTGAGAGCAAGTCCTCTTTCTCCGCGAGCTCCGCTGCAACACGGCGGTACTCCCGCCTCACAGGGAGAATGGTGTCCAGGATGCCATCGCGAACCTGTCGTGCAACGCAGGTGAAGGCAGAAGCGAGTGCGTGTTTTCGTGTGTGAGTGTGTAGCTGATGTATAACCTCTCTGTAACTTCTTTGCAACCTCAGCGCGATTGAGTGGTGAAAGTTCAGCGCTCAGAATGAGTATGCGCTCACGCCAATGTTTCTTTTACCTCCCCCCCCCCTGCTTCCGCCTCTTCCCTCCTCACCATGGCGATGTGTTGCAGGGCGGAGATCCAGATGGTGGGCTTGCGGCCTTGTGCGGATGAGGACGTGTGGTGGAAAAGGCTGTCTTTGCGAAGCAGGGTCGGCGTCATGACACGGGGAACAGCTGTGATTGTGGCGGTGTCAGCACCACCACGATCAGCAACAGCAACGCTGTTGGACCGGCTGTCGCTTGGTCCCGTGATGGTGTCCATGGAGGATGGGCTTGGTGGCGGGATGGGCGATGGCGACTTTGTGGAGCGGCGTGCAAGACGAATTTGCCGCGCCTTGTGTGCTGCTGGCGTCGCAGGCCCGCGACGGCGTCCGCGACTGTTGCGACGGCGCTTCTTTGTCGAGTGCATGATCCGCGGTGTGTGTGTGTGTATGTATGTGTAGGGGAGGGGGGTGGTTGGTGCTGGTGTGGATAGCAAGTGAGGGTTGGAAGCGAGTGCGTCTGGTCGAAGCGATTGCGAGTGGTGGAAGCGAGTGTGAGTGGAGTGGTGAAAATTTGAAAATGGCGGCGAAGCGTTGAGCTGTCAATTTTGACAGGACGGCTTTGCGTTTGTTGTTGCCAAGAAGACAACAAGCAACGAGTGAGCGATGTGCTGTTGTTGAAGTTGTGAAGCTGCTTGTGTGTCAGAGCAGCTGCTGCCAGCTGTGACGGCGAGATGCGTGTGCTTGATGCTTGAGGAAGGCAGAGGGTGGTGCGTGATGGCTGCGTGTCTTCATGTACAAACTACCTTGCCTTGAGTCGTCTTCACCCCATTCACAACTCGCATTCGTCGGATGATGTGTTTGTTTGTGCAGTGGACCAGACGAAGCGGCCCCTCACCATCCCACCAGACTTTGCCACCTACGCAGAGCAGCACGCAAGGACATACGACGCCGTGTACGGTAAGGTGGTGTGTAGTGTCGTGTGTGTGTGTGTGTGTGTGTGTGTGTGTGCGTGTGTGTGTGTGTGTGTGTGTGTGTGTGTGTGTGTGTGTGTGTGTGTGTGTGCGTGCATCTGACTTGTGCTTTTTGTGAGCACGTGATGTGTGTGTGTGTATGCGTGTGTGTACCCACTATTGTGCTGTGCTAATCTCCATAATCACAGCTCATCGTCTTTCCTTGCGCCCACCCGACCCCCCTTCCGTTTCGGTACTCTTTCTTCATCACTGCAGTCAACGCGCGAGACCTGATCACAATGGCCGTCTCGTCAGGCAGCAAGGTAACAACTCAGACACACTTCACCATCATTCCCGCTCCATGCCGATGTCGTTTTATTTTTCCACTCACGGTCCCGCACCGCCGACTTTTCTTACCCGCTACCCAGATGGGCACGGCGCTGAAGCCGTACGTCGACCGCGGGATGATGGTGCCAGACAATCTCTTTACTAAACTCGTCGTGCAGCGCCTCTGGGAGCAGGATTGCGTTACGCGCGGTTGGGTCCTGGACGGCTTCCCCCTCACTCGCGCACAGGTGTAGTGACGCGCGCGCGCGCGCGTGTGTGATGTGTGTGTGTGTGTGTGTGTGTGTGTGTGTGTGTGTGTGTGTGTGTGTGCATGTGCGTGCATATATATGTGCGCGCCTGAGTCTCTTACACCAAAAAGACACATACAGGCATCCGCACAATTTCCTGCCACAGCTCTACCTGCATGTCCCTCACACGAATCTACGACGCCTTTCCAACCCACAACACACACACACACACACACACACACACACACATGCCAGGCGGAAGGGCTGAGCAAGGCTGGGTTTGTGCCTGGGCTGGCGGTGTTTCTTGATGCTCCGGCGCAGGTGTGCCTTGACCGGTTGACGCTGCGGCGAACAGATCCCATCACAGGCAAGCGGTACCACCTCGCCACGAACCCGCCGCCCAGCCAGGATGTCCTCGACAGACTCAAGCAGGTGCTATGCGCGCGCGCGTGCTCTGTGTGTGTGTGTGTGTGTGTGTGTGTGTGTGTGTGTGTGTGTGTGTGTGTGTGTGCGTGTGTGTGTGTGTGTGTGTGTGTGTGTGTGTGTGTGTGTGTGCTGTGGGTTGTTTCCCTTCATGGTGTCTCTGCTCGTATGCTCTTGTATGGGCTCATTGCCCCACTCGAACCGTCTTCACTGCTAACCCTCGCGTCTCCGCCCACCGCAGCACCCCGACGACGAGCACGATGTTGTGCACCGGCGCATGATGGACGCGCAGGCGTTCCTCAAGGAACTCAAGGACTTTTACAAGAAGGTGCGCCATGTGCGTGTGTGCGTGCGTGTGTGTATGTCTCTGTGTCTGTGTGTGTGTGTGTGTGTGTGTGTGTGTGTGTGTGTGTGTGTGTGTTTGGAGAGCACCATGCTCGTTTCCTAATGTAGCCACCTCCCTCCCCCCTCCACTTCTGGATGTGTATCCTGTGCCAACCTTGTGGTGCTGCAGGGCGTGACCATCGACAGTGCACGGCCGATCGGGGTGAGTTAAGGCGTAAGATGGGGGGGGGGTGTTAGAGGGCGAGCGGATCTGAAAGGGAGAGGTACACACCGTTCATAGCACGCACTCACTCACTCACTCACTCACTCACTCACTCACCGTGCAGGATGTGCTGGCCTCTGTCGAAAGCCATTTGGTCAATCCACGAGAAAGCGCCTGATGTGCCCGACTGCTACTGCTACTGCCACGGCCTTGTTGCTTTGCTCGTCTGTTTCCAATCCGTCTTCCTCTGCACCTGCGATGCTTCTGCGTTCGCTCGCGAGTACACCATCCACGTCGATGCTGATGTGCCGCACATTGATTGAGCCAGACATGTCAGTGTCCCCGAACACAGCACACAATGTGCGCATTCGTGCAATCGTAACTTTCCGCTCAACAACCAGTGAACGGATATGGAGCCAGCGACAAAGAAGGCCAAAGCAGATGATGGTGAGTGGGGCGATCTCACGGTGGTGGTAGTAGGGGTCGATGTCGAGCGTGCTGCGTGCTGCTTGCTGAGCGGCAAGGGTCCGCCCTCTTCTCTCACAACGCACACACGCACACATGCAGGTGGTGAGGGCGGTCGCCTCTGGGGCGGTCGCTTCACGGGTGCCACGGACCCGTTGATGGAAGCCTTCAACGCCAGCATCGGGCTTGACAAGCGCATGTATGCGCAGGACATCCAGGGAAGCGTGGCATACGCCCGCGCCCTGGCAAAGGCCGGCCTCATTACTGCCGAGGAGGAGCGCAGCATCGTCAAGGGCCTGCAGGCCGTCTTGGAGGAGTGGCGCGCCGGAAAGTTCGTCATTGCTGATGGCGACGAAGACATCCACACCGCCAACGAGCGCCGCTTGAAGGAGATCATCGGCGAGCCAGCCGGCAAACTGCACACCGGGCGCAGGTACCCGTGTGCTTGTGTGTGTGTGTGTGTGTGTGTGTGTGTGTGTGTGTGTGTGTGTGTGTGTGTGTGTGTGTGTGTGTGTGTGTGTGTGTGTGTGTGTGTGTGTGTGTGTGTGTGTGTGTG